TCTCAATATTATATATATCATTTTGTAGCCCGTTAAATTTTCTATCGAATGATATATAAAGTGGCGTGGTTAACGATAAATTGGCTGTATCTCATAACCGATGAACTCTGTTGACCTATGGATTTGTCAAGGCTTAATTGAAAAATCGGCGCCGGTCAGTCGATGTAGTTAGGTGTCTAGTTTAAAATAAGACAAACCCGAACTCTCCAGCTTGAAATATATTAAAAAATCTTCGGACGCACTTCAGGATCCTTTTTGGACCTTGATCTCTGGAAAACTCCTAAATCGTAAGATTTGGAGACAAAAACATTTTTTCATTCCCGTAACTCATTGTGCCGAACATTTATGGAAAGTTTCGTCAAGATCCGATGTATGGTATCGGACATAATTTCTGAAGGAGGGGATCCCATAAAGAGTGAAAAAGAAATAGAATCGATAAAACTTTAGTTTTTGTTATACGGAGAGTAAAAACTCTGATCTGAATTGATCTTGAACAAAATGTACATTTTTTATTTATGAATCTCTAAACTATAATAAATGAAGAGAACGGTTTTTTTGTAAATGTGTGGACAACATTTTGCCGGTTCAAACCCATATGCGAGAACTAAAAATCTATTGTAATTTTACAGACTAGTTTCCCAAAGAGTAAACGATACATCACCTTCAGCTCGTGTACGCAGCTTGATTTTTCTATCCATTAATCCTCCATGTGTCTTCTGTTTTAAGTTAGTTGTTTTGTGTGTATGCGAGAATAAAGACAATACTAGTTTACCAAATAAACATAAAACTTAGTTTATCGTTATAGTAATCACGCTATTTTTTCTCAATCTGATTGGCAAGAAAGTCGATAAGTCGTCCTCGGGTACCATTCAAAAGCTGAATATATAAACTCCATTCACAAAACTATAGTTTTCGCTTGAGACTTAAATTCTTCATTTCTCTAACATGATTTTCATACGACAAAAGGTGCATGAATCCTGTAAAAATTAACTAGAAAGTTACTTACCTGCTTGTTTTAGCAATATATTGAGCAACTTTTGATGGAATAGACAAAGAAAAAACGATGAAATCATCGAGTTTGTCCAATCAAATCCCAAGTCATCCTTAAACGATCGGAAGATATTAATATCCACTCCAATTTCATACAGCATTTTTTATTCAAAAACATTCTTTCTCTTATAAAAATAACAAAAACAACAATAACAGAGTTACAAAAGCTGTTTTGAAACAGATTCAGTATCAAAAACACATTTAATATCGACTGAAGCTAATTCACTAACTAAATATTGTAGAACATAAGGTATTGTTACACGTTGTATACAATCTGATTTTAGACAATAGTGACAGAGAAAATCTTTTGTTCTTATCAAAGATAATAGAGAACCACAGTTCGAGCACATAAATGTTTTAGTTTCATCTGAACAATGCATTAAGCGATCCAAGAGAATACCAGCCACACCGTGCCCTAACAATGCATCACGTTCCATTTCACCAACACGTATACCACCTTCACGACGACGACCTTTCACTGGCTGATTAGTCAAAGCATCAACAGGACCTGTTGTACGAACCTGAAAAGAAGAAATTCGAATTTATTTAACGTTGGAGATATGATTCTCAAATCAAATAAAACTGTAATCTTTATTTTATAAGAACACTTAAATTTCTAAGTCTCTTTCTTTCTTAAAGCTCAGCCTGTTCCCCGAGGATCTTCCATTCT